AACATACGTCAAAGTTCTCAGATTTCCTCGTTCTTAGCAAGCATCCTTGACAATGTCACCACCTGTGTTGCTATATCTAGAATAACCCTTGTTCATTGTTGCATCACAGCATTCTTTTGCCCCTTAACGAAGCTCCATGTCGTGGTGACGGTCGTACCGGTTAAAGAAACGAATACGTCGGTTCAAGAACGAAATACCTGTTTGTATAATGTCGAAATCCAAGTATTGATATGTATTTTCAGTCGGAGCAATGAAGGTTAACGTCATGAAATATTGTAAGTTTCTCATAAGTGGCCGTCTGGTGACATTGTTTGTCTTAGTCATACTGAATGACATGTATTTCCCTAGAGGCCCAAAGTTGTCGTACAAAGACACGTGCTTTGGTGCCACTATAAAACAATAGTTGACACAGCCCTTAATGGGCTCTGTAGTCGGGTTTGTCGGGCTGGGTGGCGGCGCTAGACCGGTTGACCTACAGGCTGCTAGGATGTGTGAGGTAGCGGATGACGATGCTCATCGACCCTCGACCCTTTTCAACTAGCCAAGCTTGCCTGCCGCCAAGCTCGACCTGCAACTATCTCAGCTGCCTGCTGTCATCCTGCTACCTTCGTCCATCTTCTCTGCGAACAAATCCCTTTCACACTTCTCACCTCGCTGCACCACTTCCGCAACTGCGCGTCGGGTGTCGCGGTCCTTGTATTGATGCTGCGTGGCCAACGATAGCATGCCGATCTTTCCACCTACAGTGTACTTCCAATCATCCTGATCAGTGATCCGTGTCCGTGCAACACCTTTCGACTCAAACAATTCCAGCCTCGTCCAACCCGACCGTACATCCAAAGCGACCCCATCATCGGGCTATCCTCACCACACTCTAAATCGAGCAAGTAACCTTTCGGCCAGCCCTCGTCTCCGCCCCCCATCTTCCGCATCGCATTCTCATCCAACCAACGCATCAAACTATGAAATTCTCCACGATACCCAACGCGTCTACCGCGTTGCTGCTGTCGCTACTCCTCGGACCAGCAAATGCCATGCTCCATTGCGACAGTATTGTAACCGACAAGCAGCGGTATGATCTCTCCAAGCTGGGTGGACCTCACTCGGTCGTGATGAGCGAAATTGTCGACAGCAATGAAACCCTCAACACCACATATACGGTCGATATTTGCCAAGCCCTCAAGAAGAAAGGGAATCTGCCGAAGGACGAGCAGTGTCCCAACGGTGCCCGTGCCTGCGCTGTCAAGCGCCGTATCCTTACAGGCGACGACAAGTCCGACGTAATCCTATCAGCCACGCCCCTGGCGGGAGAGTTCAAACTGGGTGGTGGCGATCTCAACCCTGAGATTAGCAAGCTCAGTAAAGTCGACCCGGACTCGGGAAAGGAGGGGCTCCGAATCGTTATGAAGGGCGGCTATCATTTTGGCGACAACAAAGTCAAGCGCAAGCAGCAGGTCGTCATTGATTTTGTCTGCGACGAGGAGCGTGACGGTACCGAGGGCGAATGGGAATCTGAGGACAAGTACGAAAAGCGCTTCCTTGCTGCACGAGAGGGGGAGGACGACAAGGAGGACGGAGGGAAAGAAGGCGAGGAAGGCGGTGATAAAGAAGGTGATGAAGGAGAGAGTAACCCATCTGAACCAACCCAGCTCGGCATCGAAAATGACCCCAGTCTTGTCTACGACCGCTACGGCGCCAGCGACAGTGATACCAACGTGGATGTCCTGAAGCTCACATGGTCCTCCAAGTATGTGTGCAAGAGCAAGAAGGACGACGGATCAAAGGATGAGGACGACGGCGAAGACAAGCGACCTAGTAGCTCGCACTGGGGGTTTTTTACTTGGCTTGTTGTTCTGTAAGTGGATCACGTCTTTTTTTGCTGCTCTGCTCTGGGCTAACAGGACTCTTCAGCATCTTCCTCGGCACCGCAGCCTACCTCATTTTCGGCTCATGGCTCAATTACAACCGCTACGGAGCTAGGGGCTGGGACCTCCTCCCCCACGGCGATACGATTCGCGACATCCCTTACCTCCTTAAAGACTGGTCGAGGCGCGTTCTCAACACCGTGCAAGGTAGTGGAAGTCGCGGTGGCTATAGCGCAGTCTAAAAGTCCTTTTTGAGCAGAACAGAACACTGCTGCATTTGGGAATAGAGGCTTGGGTTAGGGGGGCGTTGGCGTATTCTGTCCTCTTTGTTCTAAATGCCAGGGATTTAGTCTCCACTGCCTAGCAGAGTTCCTTGCGACGGCAGCTAAGCCGTTCCTCAGCGCTCTTGGATTACAGCCAGTGGTCAGCACAGGGTCAAACTCGCCTCTACTGCTCGTACAGGAAGGCCTGACCTGGGCAGAATCGGAGCTTCTCTGCCCGTAGATGGGAAATTGTGAGTATGGAGGGAATGTGGACATGTATCAATTTGTATGGCTACGCGTATCATGACTGTCTTGACGACCCAGGTAATAGCGCGCTGTCATGCTGGTATATGTGTTATTGTACATATTATCAGTTCTCTGGTCAAAATCCAATCATCTCAACATGAAATGCCTACTTTTCACGAAACTGAGATACTAGCCAAGGTAGGGAAGATTCTACGAAGAAACCATCCACTGCCTTATCCGCTCAGCCCCAAATGCAGTTTGCAGAACGACTTGTGTAAAATCATTAATCTCACCAGGAGTCAACTCAGCGAGTACATCATCCGCCTCTTCAAGAGGTGTCAGCTCGATATTCACACACACCTTCTCCCATTCCGCAGCCGTGCTAGCTTCCCAGACTCCGCGCTGCGTCGTAAACATCATGCCCCCGTTACATGGCGCGTCCATGCGGCGATGTTTCATCATTTGATACACGCCTTGGATTCCTGCGGCGATCACCCATGTGCGGCGGATTGACTCGGTGAGGATCCATGTCTTCCATTGCGAGTGAATGGTCATGTGTGAAGTTGGGGATAAGAGGGAAGAGGGGGATGGGGGATGTTGCTCGAGAGTTGGGGATGAGAGGGCTCCGCCGGGGTTTGGGGTTAGACTTGCGTGTGCGACTACGGCGTTCATCCATCGGTCTAGTATGGGGATTCGCGATTCTGAGATGTGACGGAGGCGGATGTCTCCATCATAGAGGCCGATTGTTTGGTAGACTAGCAGTGCGTGGCAGCGTGCTAGATGCTCTAGAGAATCTAGATCGGATTTTGGGGGAGATGTGCTCACACCGACTGCCTCGTCTACCTCTTCACCGTGCTCCACCATGAGTTTCTTCGCCCGGTCCTCGATGAGTCGGAAGATCACTAGTTCATTCCCGGGTGTTTTGTGTATGTACGCTGTGAGCACTAGATACGCATCTTGGACTGACGATGGAAAGCGCTCGGAATAGAGCTGCGAGTGTACAAATGGGTTGCTGCCGCACTCAACCCAAATCTTTAGCCAGCGCTGCATTTCGACGATGCAGGACTTCATGTCCTGGATATCTGCTGCGGATGGGGCTTGACAAGGCCGTTTTGGATGTGTAACTTTCCATGTTGAGTGTGGGAAGCCGGAGGTTGCTTGCGTGAGTTGTTGACTGTCCTCTGGCTGGGTCTCAGCTTGGAATTGGAAATTGCTGAGTCCGAAGGGATCTGGTAGTGCGAGTTCTACGAATGGCCGTGAGAGGTTTGGGCTGAGTGATGTGTAGTCCAAATCTTGATGAAGCTGGCAGACGTTTGTAGTAAATGGACAGATTTTGCCTATTGGTACTATCTCTTCGTGATGCTCGAGCAGGGACACCCTATTGTGGGTCGTATCGCCGAACCTCTGTTCCGGTGACACGGGGATTTCGCCCTGGTCTTGAACAGCCTCTGTGACTTCGACGTCCTCGGACTCGTCGAAGCAGAGTACGAAGGAACTCGGCTTGGATGGCGGATACCTGCATGTGATGCCCCTGCGCCGACATCGTACGCATTGTGGGCTTTGCTTCCCGCACTTGCGCTTCGATGCCGCACACGCTGTGCAGGCTCTCATGTCGGGATTGCGGAGCATGGCTGAATATCGGGCGGATGCTCATGTAACCCCAGTATGATGGGAGCTGCGGCAGGTTAACATCTTCAAAGGCGGTTCCTCCAACTTCCTTGCGGCATCGTCGTCGTCGGCACGTCTCGTTGGTGAGAAGTTGAAGAAGGTTGCGGGAGCTTGCCGCTTCGGGAAAGCCTCCGCAATGCTTGTCCATCAACCAGCCGACGAGCTGTGAGCACATTCTACATATCCGAGATGAGGAAGTCTCAATACACGATTCTACGTGTACGTGTCTAGTCTACTCTTGTTCAAAAAGTGATCTCAACGTTTGTACAATTTAGGACCGACTGTCAAGTGGCTTTCTACGAATTACAGAAAAATTTCAACAATGTAGAGAGCGTGTAGCAGTCCATGGCTTAGTATGCAGTGATCCGACGAGTCCCTGGCGATCCAACAAGCTGATTGGTGTCAAAGCTGGACTTCTACTTTCGTGAAATTGGCTCTGCGTCGTTATGCCATCTGTTTGTTGACTATTTTCTTGGACGGTTCTCTCTCCGGAGCTTAAAACCTTGCGGATACCAAAAGTACTGCGTATTGAGGTCGACCAACTTGGGTTTCCAACGCAGAGCTCGCTTCGCCTAGATTCATTTGAAGATGGATGGACTCTTTCGTGCAAGGTCAAAACTCCAGCGATGTGAGAAAAGCACATGAGACTTTGTCGACATCGAATAGCAGCCCTGACATTCATGTGTGTTCCAGGTCACTTATTCTCCTAGCTGTGGACCCTATCATAAAATTGGATCTTGACGAAAACCAAAGGGACGAGAAGGAAAAGCAGGAGTGGACTTTTCTCGATTTCCGAACATACAAAGCAGAATAGGTAGCTCCATTGAATGGCTGCTGTTACACATGAGAGTCCGGATAGCTGAGAGCCCCGCTCGTCGCATTAGACACGTAATATAGTGCCCTATACGCAGCTGCACACAATCAACCAACCGCCTATCGTCTTGAACCACGATAAGGAGGTCTCTTGGCCCAATGGCAAGGCGTCTGACTACGACTTCATTGTTCCAATCAGGAGATTCTGGGTTCGATCCCCAGGGAGATCAGTTCTTTTCATTTTTGAACTGGCGCCCCTTATTTCGACCACCCACCTTTACAGCCAGGCTTTGCAGTTTTTCGTACGATGTGGTAATACTGGAAGAAACGAGCTTGATTGCTTCCACATACGAATAACTCCCGGGAGAGTTTATGTCATCATTATTGCTGTGAGGGCTGCGAGGGCTGCGAGGTCTTCTTCGACACCTGACTTACGTAAAAGAATACGAGATCAACACCAGCCTTAGGTACCTAACGACTGGTCGCGCAAATCTTGTCTCCTCCTTAAAGGAACGGAACCCTCAATATAGGTGGGCGGAGAAGGATTACTTGCTGCAGAGCGCCTCACTACACTATCTTCGCGATTGTAATTAATTACTGTAGTGTTACCATGTAAGTATAGTGGTGTTAAAGTCAGATTGAGAGTCACGGGTGACTCTCGCTGCAGCATCTATGTACGGCAATTCGCCATGCTCCATGGTGATACATGGGCTAGGTGTGTTTATTAACCAATTGTTATTCGCCAAAACATGCGGTACGTGGATCTCATCCTATTATTAGCCCATCTTAGTGAGCGTCTACCGCATACAGCACTTCCTGAAGCTTCCACGATCAGCGACAGTCATCTCTCACCTGCGTCATAGTTGTGCAATGTATTTATCTACTGCCTTGCCCAGCATCAACAATATTTTTGGAGTCACTTTTTCATAACGTCGTTCCTTCGGAATCCGATCATGTTCGATGTACAGCGTGAATACGCTACTTTCTTCCTTTTCGCCATCTTTGAGTCTTCCTCCCCGGCAGGCGTTCTCTCTTAAGCCTCGGTTGCAAATGCAATCCTATTTTGACCACCTCCTCGTTCTCGAACCGAAACTCAGCCTTTGAAGGGTCCTTGCCCCCGCTTGAACGTCGCTCAAGTATCCGATGTATTTCAACTGTTCACACACATGGGTAAAGGTTAAAGTAAAACCCGCTGCGCGATCCGTCGCGTCGACGAAGAGTCTCCCATTCTTGGATCTCGACTGCCAATCCCTGATACCCCGGATCCCAATACTTGCCCACGTATGCCTCAAGTGGCATTTTCTGTGGCTTCTGTTCCCCGTCGCTGCGGCCAAACTCCTGCCGTATCTTTCGTTCTTCTTCCTTGGTGTGATATTCATTCTGTTCTACTTCGTCTTCCACGATCTGTCTCCCATTAGGTCGCTGTACAACGGGTACCCCGATGGCTTCGTCAATCATTTCGTGAGCTAGAATCTTAGTCGTCTCATTATCACCATTTGCATTGCCAAAAATGACACAACCTAGCTCGAGATCTGACATGAACAAATGCCGATTTTGGAACCCATACAGTGAGCAGCCATCCTGGCCGGTAACTTCGTAGCCACGGTACCAGCTCAGCTCTGGACCGGCTGCATAAAATATCAGCGAGCAAAACGGCCCGCATACAGTACCATCTGGATCCGGGAAGCTTCGTATCTTGACAAGGTCTCTGTAGACCTCATCGATGATGGGATCCTCGTGATTCATCAATGCTTTAACCCACTTGATGTAGTCATCTGCGCTTGTCATGATCGACCTAGCTCCTTGGTCTGGACCATCGACAGCGTCGAATGAGATGTGTTTGTTCTAGTCCTTCTTCCACGAATATCCACGGGCCATACGATCGCAGTGGCGCAGCTACTTGCAGGTTTCGCAGGTTTCTCATGATCCATCTCGCATTGACTATCAAGGAGTCATCATGCCTTTGAAACGATCAGTAGTGAAGATGGGCTGAGATTTTGTTGCCGGCTGGCTATCAGGGCGAGACATATTGCTCTAGTGCAATAACCCAGGCACAAAAAGCATAAAAACAACTTAGTTGGGCATACCAGTCCCATGACTGAGCATATCTTCAACAGTAACACTATCGGTATATCTATCGTCGTTATCATGAACTCATCTGGGAGAAGACTCGACATCGCCGCATCCCATTGCGCCTCTGGATACTTTTCATGGTCGTGGACCAACAATGCGACGGATGCGGCTGTGAGCGACTTCGATGAAGGAGCGATGTCGAAGACTGTTTCCGGCATGCATGGCTTTGGCGGGTCAATTGATGACAGGCCATACCCAGCCGAGAAAGTGCGGTCGCCATGAACCACTGCGATTGCTAAACCAGGAACATGGTGTTTCTTCATAAGCTCCGCGACGTGGGCTGGAAAATTAAGCGAGGTGAGATAATCCATTGTGGCTTTCGCGATCGCGCAGGCTTCTGAGAATTGCCTTATTGTTCCGTGCCCGCCAGTTCGACACTCCGAGTGTAGCTAATCCAGTCTTTCTTCACAGGATATATTGACACAGACAACAAGCAGAGGAAGGATAAGTACGTTTTATCTCGAATGAGTCGCGCCACTGTCAAACATCTTCGCTGTGCATCTTTCTCTCCTACAGCTTATATCACGTGAAAGAGAGGGCTTGGCTGTCGATTAGGCCCAGGCTCGCCATTGACAAAAAGTTATCAAATCATCGCACCATTAGTCCTACGACATGACCATGCCTGGGAAGACAGAAGGCTACTTAGTGTAAGAAGGCTGAATATGAAAAGTGCCGATATCATGTGCTCTCGTACAGTGTTACGTCGAGGTCGGGATCTCGATTCTAGCGAGAAATCCTATTGCCATTGGCGTCGTACAAGTTCTAGGAGAGGCAAATTTGCAATTATATAGCAAGAGACCTTGAAACGTAGCTAACTGGGCTTATGAGCTCGAGAGATGGAAAGTTAGATGGTCTGAGGTAAAGTTGCGAAGGGTTCGGATGAATTGTCGAGTCCTAAGGTCATGAATCGGGTTAGTCTCCGCCAGCATATCGGCCCACTCCACGCTGTAAAGTTGGCTCTACACACCTTGGTAATATTGATCCGAGTAACAGTACTGAGATATGTCTTAAGGATGCGGAGTCGGAAAGATATGTCTTCCTCTCGAGACGTTTTGCGGCCCGGCGCCTCAGCATGCTCAACTTGGCCTTGGGGAGCTTCAGTATGACGACCCGAGCACCTTGATTACCTACCGAACGTATATTGACCCTAGGTCGGTAGTACGGTCCAGGAGTTGATATATCTGGTCAGAGTGTGCATATAAATGTACTCTTGTTTCTACATCGTTGATTTCTTCCGAGAACTTGCACATTGCTGCGATTAGATCTTTCTTGTAGTCCATCTTCTAAAAGAAACCAGATTCCCCATCCTCAAAATCCTGCAAAATGGATCAACTTAGCCCCGAAGTCGCGCATTATCTTTTCCGACAGTGCGTCGACAGTAATGTGACGAAGACCATCCATCGGACGCTATACCCGGCATTGTCGCCATCCCGTCCAGAAAACCGTCAAGGTAATTATATGCGTCTTTCTTCGTACGCTCTTGGGATGTCTACTGACTAATATTGAACGTCAGACGGCCGTGTGATCCTAGTCACGGGTGGTGCGACCAACATTGGTTTTGCCATCTCTCAAGCCTTCGTTCGTGCGAATGCAAGCACTGTCATCCTTGTAGGACGACGTAGTGATGTCTTGAAGGATGCAAAGGCCCGGTTGGAGCAAGAGGCGCAGTCTCTGGGGACTAACACCAAGATAATGACATCGTCCACCGATGTCGTGGATACCGCGCAAACTGAGAAATTCTGGAAGTATCTCTCCGATGAGGGTATTTCGGTTGACGTCTTCGTGTCCAATGCCACGAAATTCTCTGAACCAAAGCCTATGCTTGAGGCGGGTGCAGACGCAGTCTGGTCTCACGTAGAAGTGGATGCGAAAGCACCAATCTACTGGCTTGATAAGTTCTATCGTCAAGGAGGTGACGGGCAGAAGGTGAGACTTGATTTATTATCTATCAGTATCCTCCCTGTCCATATCTCGAACTCGGACAAATTCATTGCCGCATAGTTGAAAACGTGCATCGACGGAGATTATAGGTCTGCTCAAAGATAGAAAAAAGCGCTAATACATAATTCTAGTTCGTTGTCAACGTGTCAAGCCAGTGAGTGACCTAATGAGCAATGAGGACGAAGAGTTACTCATCCAACGCAGAGGTGTCCACATGACAAATCATCCGGGAATGAGTATACTCCCAGCGTACTGCATGTCTAAGATGTTTGGAACACTTTTTTTTCAGAACACCGCCCTGGGAATTCCGGCCGAGAAGATGCAAATCGTCAGCTTCCACCCCGGATCTATCTGGACTAAGGAATGGGAGTCGATCAACGACGCACTCAAGCCGGAGGATTTTGATGATGGTAAGAGAAGAGACCCTCGCCTATTCGGGTTGAAGCTGCATTTTTCAATTTCTTCCGCGTATACTAAAAGATTATTCTTCGCATAGTTCAACGGACTGGCGCTTTCGCAGTCTGGCTCGCCTCTAAGCAGGCAGCCTTTCTGCACGGGCGCTACGTCTGGTCGTCCTGGGATGTGGACGAGCTCTCTACGGGGGACGTGAGGAAGCGCATTGACGAGGACTTCCATTTTCTCAAGTGCTCAATTGTTGGACTGAACAGTGGTATGCTCGCATGATCGAATCATCCTAGCGGTTGTCCCCTTTGATTTACAGGTCTGCTCCGTCAAACCACCTCTGCAGAACATCCAGTCCCTGCTCGTGTGTCTGTTTATATGAATACACAACTTTCCCAGGCGACTGCCTGTCGTTCTTCTCGCTCGGCGAAACCATGCGCCGTGCACTACAGTACCATAATCTTTGCGAGAGCAGCAAGACCCGCGCTTATGTGCCAAAGTTGATGAGATTGTCCTAGAATATCGAAGGGCCCTGGTCTGAGTCTCTCCGGGAGCATTAAGAGCGACAGAGAAGTTAGGCGAAGTGTAGGGTCGGGATGAATGTTAATTAGTAGATGGTCACATAGTCATCCGACACAGATGATACCGCGTGAAGATAGAAAATTCGTTGCCATGATTGGAATTAAGAGGAAACAGGAAAAAACTTGACGGATACGCTTCGCTTGAGACGGATACTCTCGCTGATCCTGACCGG